CTCGAACTCCCGACCTCCGGTGATCCACCTGCCTCAGCCTCCCAAAGTGCTGGGATTACAGGCGTGAGCCACTGCACCTGGCCTATTTTCAATCTTTATAAATTATTTTTAAATTTTTAAAAAGGAAATGAAATAAATTATTTACATTCATATATATGAAAAATTTTATTTCAAAATTATCTAAAGAGGTACAGATATGAATCAATAATTATTAGATTATTAAATTTCAGTAGAATTAAATGCCTTGTCAACAGTTTTCTGTTGGAAAGCTGTATATAGCTAGTTCCACCCATTCCTCTAGTTTACTGTTTGACCTTAATTTTCTCCTTCCTCTTCTCAGGGTTGCTTTCCTGACTGGCTTAGTCCCATCAGACAGAAGCCACTGTGGAAACTTCAGGTCCCCTAGGTGTTCATAATAAGGTCGTATTACCATGAACAAAAGAGATAAGCTAATATTTGGTGCTATTTTGGGAGCATTTTTAAATTTTCAATACTTAATCTTTTACCAAGAATATAAAAACAATATCCATAATTTGTAGACACCATCTGAATTTACTGAAGCTACCTTCAGTTCTCCTGAATAATATAAACATTTTAACCAAATATTCTTACCTGCCTTATAAGTTTTTTAAAAAGACACTAAATAATGGAAATAATCACACCTAAAATGCATAAGAGCTCAGTACAACTGGTCCTATCTCAACATACTCCTTGAACTAAATTAAAGGACTCAGTCACTAGCTTCTATTGTGTTACCTGAAACTGACGCTTAGCAGAATTTTTGCTGAATTTAAAAACAAAATGGTACATACATGATTGTAACCATGCAAAAGTATGTCTATATTTGACCTGAAAGGCAATAAGCAAAAATGAAAATAGTGGTTTACAATATTTAATAAAAATATATCAATAAGTTTTTAAACAAAAGGTACTTTAGCTGAGCACTTTAAAAAAAAAATTCAAAACTTCCTGAAAGTCTGAGTGACTACTTAAATGAAAAGCTCTCCTTTATCTGTATAAACATTGCTCATTGGGCCTTTCAAACCATTCAAAATACTGAGAAGTATACTGTATGATAGTATCTGCCCTCCTGTCAGAGAAAACATAGGGGAAAAATGGTAAGATGGTTTTCTACTCAGGGCAGGATAGGTAAAATTCTGAATATTTTCAAAATGTTAACCAGATGTGGGGTAAATCCTGAGGTTTCAGCTCCTAAAACACTGTTTGAAACTTGGGAGCAATAGATATTCTGGAGAAATCATTCTGACAATAAGGACTTTTGGGCAAGAATGGACAGCAAAACTTGTTTTGCACAAAGTCACTATTCAGATTTAATTCAGCAGACGTGAAAAATTATAAAACACAAAATTTACATTTAAAAGAAGATACACAGTGACCAGGCCTGGTGGCTCACACCTGTAATCCCAGCCCTTTGGGAGGCCAAGGCAGGTAGATCACTTGAGGTCAGGAGTTTGAGACCAGCCTGGACAATGCAGTGAAACCCAATCTCTACTAAAAATAAAAAAATTAGCCAGGGATGGTGGCACGTACCTGTTATTCCAGCTACTCGGGAGGTTGACAAAGGAGAACCGCTTGACCCAGGGAGGCAGAGGCTGCAATGAACCGAGATTGCGCCACTGCACTCCAGCCTGGCTAAGAGCGAGACTCCGTCTCAAAAAATAAGTAAATATAAATAATAATTAAAAATAAATAAAGGAGGGCCGGGCGCGGTGGCTCACGCCTGTAATCCCAGCACTTTGGGAGGCCGAGGCGGGTGGATCACGAGGTCAAGAGATCGAGACCATCCTGGTCAACATGGTGAAACCCCGTCTCTACTAAAAATACAAAAATTAGCTGGGCATGGTGGCATGTGCCTGTAATCCCAGCTACTCAGGAGGCTGAGGCAGGAGAATTGCCTGAACCCAGGAGGTGGAGGTTGCGGTGAGCCGAGATCGCGCCATTGCACTCCAGCCTGGGTAACAAAAGCGAAACTCCGTCTCAAAATAAATAAATAAATAAATAAATAAATAAATAAAGGAGATAGATGTAAACCAAATCTAATAAAGGCCCTAAAGAAGAGTAAAACAGGCTGAGAGCAGTGGCTCACGCCTATAATCCCAGCACTCTGGGAGGGCAAGGCAGTGGATCACGAGGTCAAGAGATCCAGACCATCCTGATCAACATGGTGAAACCCCGTCTCTACTAAAAATACAAAAATTAGCTGGGCATGGTGGCGCATGCCTGCAGTCCCAGCTACTTGGGAGGCTGAGGCAGGAGAATTGCCTGAACCCAGGAGGCAGAAGTTGCAGTGAGCCGAGATCGCGCCATTGCACTCCAGCCTGGGTAACAAGAGCGAAACTCCGTCCCAAAAAAAAAATAAAAAAGAAGAGCAAAACAATACTTTGTTCCAAATGGGAAACAGTAGAAAGAACCTAAGGAAGTAAAAAAAGCCAGCACTGATCATATGGTTCTTTAGGGTAGGAAATACTAGGACCGGGTTAAAATTAGAATTTGAGATTTCAAATTTGAAATTTCAAAAAGAAATTTACAGGTCTAATCCAAATCCTTCCATTTACAGATGAGGAAATTTAAGGTCTATTTATTATTCATCCAACAAACTTTGATTAGTGTGCCTACATGCTAGATGCTAGAGACAGTACAAAGACCAAGACGAGACATAGTCCAGGAAACTCACTTGCCCGAGGTCACAAAGCAAGTTAGCAGTTAACCAGGGGCTCTTTGTACTAAACCCCATAGTGTCGAATAATATACAGTCATTTCTGTGCCTGTAAGCACCATAAGTATTTGATGATGGTTCTATGAAAATATAAGATTTCATACACAACTGATAAAACATTTCATCAGGGATATATATTATCTTCAGAGGTAATATGATAAGGGGTATATATAATATATAAGGGGTATATATTATATTCAGATGCTAATAGAATCTATGTAAAATAATCACAGTTTCTTATATAGCATATGAAATGATAATTTCCTTGGAAGTACTTCCTAATTTCTTAGTCATTAGGTGTTCTATGTGCAAATGTTGACAATCTAAATTATAAATCTTTTTAGAAATTTTGTATTTATTTTTTAAGTTTGGGGGTACATGTGAAAGTTTGTTACATAGATAAAAACATGTCACAGGGTAAATTATGAAATTTTAAAACATGATTTCTGGTCATGTAACTCTTACTATGTCTCCTTTGAATTACAAAGGAGAATGTCATTTTTTAAAAACTTCATGTTTAAGTGAAAATTAGAACACTAATTTTAAGTGAAAATTAGAATGCTAGTTGAGTAACATTTAGCTAGGGTTCTAACCCTTTATTTTCAACAAATGGCTCAATTTTAAAAGACCTAGTTCTATCATTAACCAGTTACCATCTAATCATTCATAGCTTAACCAGTTTGATAACGTTATTGTATATAATATAAACAGGGACAGTTAATAAAATGTTCTGCATCAGAGCTTATTTCTTATTTTTTTCTTTTTTTTTTTTAGATGAGGTGTTGCTCTTGTTGCCCAGGTTGGAGTGCAGTGGCGTGATGGTTCACTGCAATCTCCTCCTCCCCTGGGTTCAAACAATTCTCCTGTCTCAGCCACCCAAGCAGCTGGGATTACAGGCGCCTGCCACGACGCCTGGCTAATTTTTTTGTATTTTTAGTAGAGATGGGGTTTCATCATGTTGGCCAGGCTGGTCTCAAACTCCTGACTTCAGGTGATCCACCCGCCTTGACCTCCCAAAGTGCTGGGAGTACAGGCATGAGCCACTGTGCCCGGCCCACAACTTATTTCTTTAGGAGGAAACACGTACCTCACTTTAAAATGAACAATAGAACCTAGTACAAAAGAGAAAATTAAGTTTGGAACCTATACTTTTTTTTTCTTCACTGATTTAATAACTTTAAGAAAGCAGTACAGGAGTTTTTTAATATGGGAGAGAATAATAGGAGCCCTCCACTAGAAGTAATATGGTATACTGAGAGTTCTTCTTTAACCCAAAAAGAAAAGGTATGAAAATTTTGTAACTTATTGAAATAGAAAACTTCTGAGATACTCCTGATTGGAAAGTAGTTATTTGGCCAGGTGCAGTGGCTCACGCCTGTAATCCTAGCACTTTAGGAAGCAGAGGCAGGTGGATCACCTGAGGTCAGGAGTTAGAGACGAGCCTGGCCAACATGGTGAAATCCTGTTTCTACTAAAACAACAACATTAACTGATTGTCATGGCACACACCTGTAATCCCAGCTACTTCAGAGGCTGAGACAGGAGAATCACTTGAACCTGGGAGGCGAGGGTTGCAGTGAGCCAAGATCATGCCATCTCACTCCAGCCTGGGCAACAAAAGTGAAACTCCATCTCAAAAAAAAAAAAAAAGTAATCATTTATCTTCCAACAACTCTGAGAATCTATGATGAGAAAGATGAGGGGATTGAAGAGCTACCTGTTCTATATAACTCAATTACAATATGGAGCTCTAAGATTGATTTCCCATCTTTAGGCTCTAGAAGGCTCTTCTACTGTTGTACTTCTCCCCTGGCCACTCATTCCATTATGATTTGTCCTGCTTCCCTATATAACAAGCTCTGTCAATGAGAAGCACTTGGATATTATCCATCTCTATATTCTACCTTGCATGACAGCACATAGCTGGTACTCAGTAATTAGAAAACGAGTACCATAGATGGTAACCAGAATAAAAAAGTTGGTAAGATCTATTCTGATTCATATATCCATACTCTGAAACTAACTGTAATAATAAAAAATTGAAACTACATCAGCAACATACAGTTCCACTTCACATTATTAGGGAATTAAATGGTAGAGGAGAACTGAAAACTTTGAAAGGGGTGGCCACATAAAAAACAATGTGCATGCAGTCTAAAATAACCACTCCCTTTTAAAGAAGAAAGGTCAATTTCAAGCCTCAGATAACTGAAGAAAATTGTCAGGAAGAAAGAAACATTACGTGAAAAAGAAAAAGATAATCTGATTTCTAGATTAAGATGTTTTAATATACATAATGTATAGTACTTCATATAATTTATTAATGGCATTTTCTATAGGACACTGTAATTAATTCAGTGACATCAATATTGACCTCATACAGACAAAAGATGAAAGCTGGGTTTTCTTGTGTACCAAGTACAAAACATGTGCTAAAAAGTTAATGTATATAGTTGTAAGAGATCAACGTTGAGGATGACTCAAGTTTACAGTAGTTGCTTCACACAGTTTTCCAAAACTTGGATGCCACCCAGTGTTGCTGTGTTTGTGCAAATGCCAGCTCCGGAAGGCCTGACTACCTCCTTTTGCCAGCTCCACTTTTGCCTGTTTTACTGCTGCCACTGCTAGATTTGCCAGATGATTTTGAAGAGAAGAGTCTTGTCATGAACTCAGAAACATCAGGCAACTCATGGTTGGAATTCAGCATATTCATTGACTGCTCCATCTCCTGCAAGAAGACAAGGCACAATGATATGTAGAATCTTTCAAGTCTTTTAACTCCTAACACTTCCTATTAAAGAAAAAGCAAAGGAGTATAACAAGTGAAAGGTACTAGTTCTGAGCAATGATGCAACATCCTGCTCAATAGAACTTCACCTATAGATCATTAGTAACTATTTTCCATGCTTCCTTTAACCACTAAACATTTTGATTCTTAGTAAACGTTCAATAAAGGATTGCCTAAGGTTTGATTCTGCTTGTATTTTAATAAAGAATATTTTTTTCTGATAATGAATATATTTGATCATATTCCTATCATATTTTCTGAATAAGATGCTTTCTTATTATTTTAATGAATACATTTTTAAGTTCATGCTTTCTTTAGATGCATATAATCAGAATATTAATTTTTAACTATACATCAAGGCATCAGTAAAGTTTGGAAAAGAAGTGTAGTATTTCCAAGAGTTCATTTATAAGCCTCAGTAGTAAATCTATGAATCCTGTATGGCTTGGGTGACTTCAATTAGACTCTAAAGCAATCAACACAAATGTTATAAACAAGCCATTGGCAAAACAGGATAGGATTTGGCACTTTTATTTTGAGTATTTGTCCTCCCCCTTAATTGAGTCAAAAATCTATAAAGTACTGTTTAATATTTATATAATATTAATGTAATGTCTGCTTCATTTAAATTTTAAGTGACATTCTAAAACTGAACTTAAAATTGACTTTAGTCCCATTCAGACATGAAAAAGATAGCATATACTGTATTATCTCTTTCTTCCTTCCTTCCTTTTTTTTTTTTTTT